GTGGTGAAGTACCTTGGGCTGGAGATCGTGCGCGACAGGCCGGCCAGGAAGTTGTGGCTGCACCAGCAGGGCTACGCCGACAAGCTGCACAGGCGCTTCATCGACGAGGAGCAGGGCGGTCGAGTCCCGAAGGCACCGGTCTCGGTCGACGCCTACGCTCAGCTAACGTTCGAAGACGAGGAGGCTCAGGAGCGCGAGGAGGAGGAGTACCGGAAGAAGGTCGGCTCGCTGCAGTTCGCGGCGACGACGACAAGGCCGGACATCGCGTTTGCCTGCAGCAAGCTGGGAAGTGGCCTCACGGTGAGGAGCGACCAGCATTGGCGCGAGGTCGACCGCTGCCTCGCCTACCTTGCCGACACCCGCGATACCGCCTTGGAGTTCGGCGGTGGACCAGAATCATTGGAGCTGATCGGCTATGTCGATGCCGATGACGCGGGCGACAAGCAGAACCGGACGAGCACGGGAGGCTACGTGTTCGTCTACGGAAGGGGCCACAGTCTCCTGGTCGAGCTCGCGCATCAAGTGCGCGACATTGTCATTCGACCGAGTCGGAGTACGTGGCGGCCACGGATGCCGGCAAGGAGGGGCGTCGACTTCGCTTCCTCGCGGAATTCAAGCTCCTCGACGCTGGGAAGCCGACCGTCCTCCGCGTCGACAACAACTCGGCAATCACGGTCGCTGAGGGCTTGGGGCTGACGGGCAACCTCAAGCACATGGAGCGACGCTACGCCTGGCTGCAACACATGGTGAGGCGCGGGAAATTCGTGCTGAAGTACATCCCGACCACCGAGCAGCCGGCGGACTTCCTGACGAAGGCGCTGCATTTTTCCGGCTTTCAACCGGTGCTCTGTCACCATCGGCCAAGTTCGTCCATCCGACGTCGGCGACGGCGACGATGAGGTGCAGCAGTAGGTGCCATGCCCTTTTGCATGGCTGGTGCGGTGACGACGTGCTGTGTGTGGGGTGCACGCCGAGGATGAGTTTTGTCTCCGTGGAGTACTGCCGTGTGGGCTGGAGGCCAAAGCGTGAGCGCGGCAGGGGAGTGTTAATAGGAATGGAGTGTTGGCCCCGCCCTCGCTTGAGCAACGCCGACGACTTGGTCGGATGCACGGGAGTAGCAACCGACCATTCACAGTGGGAGAGCTGTTCGACAGGCTTCGAGCTGCAGGGGACCGATGTGGTGTTGCTGTCGACTAGGGAGCTCGACAGCTGCAACTGACTGGTCTGGGCGACGGGTGGGACGTCGACCAGGACCTGCAGTTCGACTGGGAGGTCGACGGAGCAGTCCGTCGACCTGACAAGTGAGCAGCGGTCGACGAGGGGAGCTCGGCGAGAGTTGTGGTCGACCAGAGGGACCTGGTGGTCGACCGGAAGCACCTGGTGGTCGATCGGGTCGACTGCCCTTAGCCAGAGCACACATGTTGACCGACTGCCCTTAGCCAAAGCACACATGTTGACCGACTGCCCTTAGCCAGAGCACACATGTTGACCGACTGCCCTTAGCCAGAGCACACATGTTGACCGACTGCCCTTAGCTAGAGCACACATGTTGACCGACTGCCCTTAGCCAGAGCACACATGTTGACCGACTGCCCTTAGCCAGAGCACACATGTTGACCGACTGCCCTTAGCCAGAGCACACATGTTGACCGACTGCCCTTAGCTAGAGCACACATGTTGACCGACTGCCCTTAGCCAGAGCACACATGTTGACCGACTGCCCTTAGCCAGAGCACACATGTTGACCGACTGCCCTTAGCCAGAGCACACATGTTGACCGACTGCCCTTAGCCAGAGCACACATGTTGACCGACTGCCCTTAGCCAGTGCACACATGTTGACCGACTGCCCTTAGCCAGAGCACACATGTTGACCGACTGCCCTTAGCCAGTGCACACATGTTGACCGACTGCCCTTAGCCAGAGCACACATGTTGACCGACTGCCCTTAGCCAGAGCACACATGTTGATCGACTGCCCTTAGCCAGAGCACACATGTTGACCGACTGCCCTTAGCCAGAGCACACATGTTGACCGACTGCCCTTAGCCAGAGCACACATGTTGACCGACTGCCCTTAGCCAGAGCACACATGTTGACCGACTGCCCTTAGCCAGAGCACACATGTTGACCGACTGCCCTTAGCCAGAGCACACATGTTGACCGACTGCCTTAGCCAGTGCACACATGTTGACCGACTGCCCTTAGCCAGAGCATACATGTTGACCGACTGCCCTTAGCCAGTGCACACATGTTGACCGACTGCCCTTAGCCAGAGCACACATGTTGACCGACTGCCCTTAGCCAGTGCACACATGTTGACCGACTGCCCTTGGGTTTCAATGTACAAGCATGTTGCTGTCACATGAAACACATGATGCGTGTCCCATTATAAGCACACCTCGCCAGAGAAGCACATGTTACCTTACCTTAAACCCACATGCCACCTAATCAGCTCCCCACTTGATGACTGCGTGGTTCTGGCTGTCCTCCCCCAGAAGGGCAGGTCGTTGAAATGGCGGGGCTGACCCGCCAACAGGAACAGAAAGAAGAAGCAAGCTTTGCCCGGGTCGTCCGTCCGTGCGCCACCTGCCGCGTGTGGGTAAGGGTGGGGGGCGTGGAGGGTGCATGTGGGGGCAGCGTAGTAACGTGTGTGGGGCATAAGATGGTGGTGGTGATGGCAAAGAATAGGGATGATTATAGGAAGGAGGGGATGATGTTGACTCACAGTGACTGGAGGTACAAGATCAGCACATTGTATCAAATCAGCACCCGGTGGTATCAAATCAGCACCCAGTGGTTTGAAATCCTCACCTTGCAGTATCATATCAACACCCTGTGGTATCAAATCAACACCTTGTGGTATCATATCAACACCCTGTGGTATCAAATCAACACCTTGTGGTATCATATCAACACCCTGTGGTATCAAATCAACACCTTGTGGTATCAAATCAGCACCTTGTGGTATCATATCAACACCTTGTGGTATCAAATCAGCACCTTGTGGTATCAAATCAGCACCTTGTGGTATCAAATCAGCACCTTGTGGTATCAAATCAGCACCTTGTGGTATCAAATCAGCACCTTGTGGTATCAAATCAGCACCTTGTGGTATCAAATCAACACTTGTGGTATCAAATCAGCACCTTGTGGTATCAAATCAGCACCTTGTGGTATCAAATCAGCACCTTGTGGTATCAAATCAGCACCTTTTGGTATCAAATCAGCACCTTGCAGCACTTGGAGCCGGGCCAGTAGGAGTAGACGAGGAGCTCGTGGGCGGGTGGGAGGGACGGTGGGGGTACGGCAGCGCAGAGGGAGAGGGGAGGGGAGGGAAAATGGGGGGGGCTATCACGAGGCAGGAGACGAGCGAGGAGGGGAGAGGGCAGGGAGAAGGGGAAAGCGCGTAGCACCTGGCGGTTGATGAGGCGCATGCAGCGGAGGAGGAGCAGCGAGGTGGCGGCGACCGCCAGCAGCACCGCAACGCCCATCAGCGCCGCCGCCATCGCGCCTCACGTCCACCGCTCGCCCGCCGACCGCCACCGCCCGCGCGACAGCGGCTTGGCGACGGGGCTGGGCGCAATGGCGGGCGGCATGGCGGCGTCTGCGGGGCGTCAGAGGCCTGGGCGCTGAGCGGAGATGGCGACCCATGGCTGGTGCGCTTGGTGAATCATTGCGGCTCCTCATTGACAACTCATGCTGCATACGTGGACGTACAGAAACGCGTTTCGCCTGGGTGACTGTTGCGAGGATGGGGGGACTGGCAACAATGAACTAATGCGTAAAAGGCAGTCATAGGGGTGCGTTTTATGTAACTGGATTCAACTGCTTCGATCGCGTTTTATGCATCCGAAGGGAAATGTACAATGGCCAAGTTACAATCCTATGTAGAATGTTTTCCCCTGTGATGCTAAAGAGTGTTGCCTAGTCAGGTTCAGAATAAAAAAGAACATGGTTCTTACTACGTTGGTGAATTCGTATTTTACACAGGTATGTTGATATAATACGTATAATTACTGTAATTGAGAACAAATTACAGCTAAGGTAATAATACGTAGCTAATTACTGTTATTTCTGAATATTGCTAGATTGGCGACACCTCCGAGCTGCTTGTATCGGAGCATTACTGATTTGACATCCCCCTGTCACGGCGACACATCCGATCACTATTGGACTCCCGCCTGCCCTCTCCTCCCCATCGCTCCTCAAGCGCGACGAAGCTTGTCGCATCGTCGTCACTATCGAGGCGAACCGGTGCCTTACCCACCAGTCGCCGTCGTGGATTGCGACGGGCCACCAGCGCAGCATGCCCGCCCACACATCTCCCTCATTCGCCTCCCGTCAGGCGACGGGCAGCCCAACTCCCCGCCAGCCCGCGCCGTTGCTTTCCACGATGTTCCGCCGTTCCGCCTCTGAGTGCGACCGGTGCGCCGTTGGCGGGCCTCTGACGGGTCAGCGGCGGCGCGTCGCACCGCTAGGCGCTGGTGGGAGCTGGCCAGCCCGGCCCCGTCTGATGTTGATGTTGCCACTCCCTCCCGTCGCCCTCCATCGCTCTGGCCCTCGCAGATTTTTGCTCTTTGTTGGCGAGAACGGGGGGTATGGGGGGAACGACGGTGAGGAGGGGCGGGTGAATGCGGAGGGCGCGTGGCACGGATGGCGCGGGACGGCCCTGCTGGCTGCACGCATCGGAAATAGAGAAGCGCTTGTCCGTCGTTTGTGCTGTGCGCGGCTCGACTAGTTGTCGCGCTCGTGTAGTGTGCTCTTGCTGCTGCGAGACAGATCAAGGCCCTGGAGCATCGCAGCAATCGTCTCCACTTCCCGCCGCTATTGCATTGCTCTTCCCAATCGAACAGCTCCCTGCCTCAGTGTTTGATCATAATCGGCACGCCGCGCCACGCGGCGCTAGTCGATCGTGTCGTCACCCGCTGTTTGCACGGCCGCGCCACGCGGCTCTCGCGCCCTCGCAGCGCTGTTGCCTCGCACCCCGCATCTCGCGGCGATGGATACGCGGCACCACTTCCCCGCCGCGCGGCACCTCGCGTGCTTCGCGTCGTTCGCGTCGCCCACCCCCTCGCTCACCCCGCTCGTCGTCCCCGCCGACCCCGCCGCTCCCACCGCCGACGACCCCTTCCCGTGCGCCGCGAACGCATCGCCTTACGCGTCGCCTGGCGCGGAGGGCTCTCTTAACGGAGACGGGCATAGCGAGGAAGGCAGCGCTGATGCGGAGAACGTGGGGGATCGCGCAGGGCGGGTAGGAAGGGGCGCGCGCATGTGCGAGGAGTACGTGGCGGCGTGCGCCGCCGTCATGCGCCACCGCCACGCCCACGACCACCATGCGCCCTCCGCATCCGCCTCCGCCGCCTCTTCTGCCTCCGCCGTGTCCTCCGCCCCGCCTGTCTCGCCTGTCTCTCCCGCGCACCCGTGGATCGAATTGGCTGCTGAGACCAGCAGTGACGTCACCACGGACATCAGCAGTGACGTCAGCGCGGAGATACGCAGCGGCATGAGCGTGAGCGCCACCCGGCGGCCCTTTGGCTCGCCCATCACCATGACCCCTGCCTCCTCCGCTGCCTCCTCCGCTGCTGCTGCTGCTGAAGATTCTGCTGCTGCGGACCGTTATGGTGGGAAAGCTAGCGATGGTGCTGCGTGGTGGGGTGGCGGTGGTGGAGAGGATTGCGGGGGTGAGGGGCGGGTGGTGCAGCAGTTCCATGTGCGCACGGAGGGCCTCTCTTACACGGTGAGTGGGGGGAGTGTGTGGGAAGGAAGGCGAGGGGTGCGTCGGGGCTAAGAGTGAGGTGCATCGTACACACACATTGCCTATTGTCTCCTTCGCCTCCCTCCTTTCCCACTGCCCTCTCTCTCATCCCCATTGAAGACCCTCCCTCCGCATTCTTCCTTCTCCGTCCTCACCTCTCCCCTTTCCTCTCCCTCCTCCCCTCCCTGTCCCCTGTCCCCCCCGCCCTCGCCCTTCTTCCCCCTCGCAGGCCGTCAACGGGCGCACCATTCTGAACCGAGTGAGCGTGGCGGCTCATCCCGGGCAGCTGCTCGCGCTCGCAGGGCCCTCGGGCAGCGGAAAAAACGTCCCTGCTGGACGCCATTGGCTGCCGCATTGATCCGGGCAGCCTGTCGGGGTCCATCCTGGTGAACGACCGCCCCATGCCGCCCAGCTTCCGCAAGCACTCTGCCTACGTGCTGCAGGTGGGTGCCGCAGTCTGGTGCAGGTGGGTGGGTGCGGTACAGAGGGGTGGCTGGGTGGACTGCAGGAGGGTGGGTGGGTGCATCCCCTGCCTGTGCCGCGTGCTCCCTGCCTCCTTCCTACCAGCCCCTGCCCCAACTTCTCCCCCCCCTCCCCCCCCTCCCCCCCCTCTCCCCCCTCTCCCCCCCACCTTGTCAGGACGACGCCCTCTTCGCGCTGCTCTCCGTGCGCGAGACGCTTGACTTTGCCGCCCGCCTGCGCCTGCCGTCCACCGTGACGCCGGCCGCGCGGCAGCAGCGAGTGCAGCAGCTGGTGCAGCAGCTGGGGCTCACCGCGTGTGCCGACACGCCCGTGGGGGACGACCTGGTGAGTGGGCCGACCAGGTGGGTGCCTTGGATGGGGGGGGACCACTGGGTGGGTAATTTCTGGGGCGCCTCAAAAGCAGCTGCTGCAGCAGTGCGCGGGGTGGGGACGAGATGCGTGCCTTGTGAGGAGGGCGTCCTGCTGGGCTGGGTGTCTTGTGGGTGGGAGGGGCAAGCGTGTCTTGTGAGGAGGGTGTCTTGTGGGTGGGAGGGGCAAGCGTGTCTTGTGAGGAGGGTGTCTTGTGGGTGGGAGGGGCAAGCGTGTCTTGTGAGGAGGGTGTCTTGTGGGTGGGAGGGGCAAGCGTGTGGTGCCTCTGGATTCGTGCGCCGCGCGTGTGTAGGTTGACCTGGCGTGTGTGGAGCAGCACCACATCACGTCACCACCAACTCATTGTATTTCTTCACCTCTGCTCTCCGTTCCTCTCCACTGCCACAGCCCCTCCGCACCTCGTGCACCACCTGCATGCTTGCTCGCTCCTATGCTCCTTGCTGTCACATCCACTCCGCCTTCCTTCCCCCCATTCCTACAAACACTGCCTCCTCCATCGTGTGTCCCCACCCCTTCCTCTACTGGACATTTTAGTCATGAATCACAAGGGGTTTAAGGAAACTGCCTTAGTCATGAATCACAAGGGGTTTAAGGAAACTGCCTTAGTCATGAATCACAAGGGGTTTAAGGAAACTGCCTTAGTCATGAATCACAAGGGGTTTAAGGAAACTGCCTTAGTCATGAATCACAAGGGGTTTAAGGAAACTGCCTTAGTCATGAATCACAAGGGGTTTAAGGAAACTGCCTTAGTCATGAATCACAAGGGGTTTAAGGAAACTGCCTTAGTCATGAATCACAAGGGGTTTAAGGAAACTGCCTTGTCCCACACTCCTCTGCCCCCCTTGCCCCCTTTGCCCCCCATTGCCCCGTATGCCATGGCAGCACCGGGGGGTGTCAGGGGGGGAGAGGAGGCGCACGTCCATCGGGGTGGAGCTCATTCACAACCATGCCGTGCTGCTGCTCGACGAACCCACCTCAGGTGATGCCTGCTGCTCGATGAACCCACCTCAGGTGATGCCTGCTGCTCGATGAACCCACCTCAGGTGATGCCTGCTGCTCGATGAACCCACCTCAAGTGATGCCTGCTGCTCGATGAACCCACCTCAGGTGATGCCTGCTGCTCAATGAACCCACCTCAGGTGATGCCTGCTGCTCGATGAACCCACCTCAGGTGATGCCTGCTGCTCGATGAACCCACCTCAGGTGATGCCTGCTGCTCGATGAACCCACCTCAGGTGATGCCTGCTGCTCAATGAACCCACCTCAGGTGATGCCTGCTGCTCGATGAACCCACCTCAGGTGATGCCTGCTGCTCGATGAACCCACCTCAGGTGATGCCTGCTGCTCGATGAACCCACCTCAGGTGATGCCTGCTGCTCGATGAACCCACCTCAGGTGATGCCTGCTGCTCGATGAACCCACCTCAGGTGATGCCTGCTGCTCGATGAACCCACCTCAGGTCCACACCACACACTTCCGCCTCCTATGCTCGTGCTGCCGTTTCTCTGCCCGTTCTCTCGGCCCTCTCTGGGCATCGGTGCTTCTCTTTGTGTGCTCAGTCCTTCACTGCGCCCCCTACCCTACGCCTTGCTCACAGCACCACCCAGTCCGCCACCCATACCTGCTCGCGCCTTGCTCCTTCTGTCATGTGCCTCTCCCTTCTACGCCCAGTCATGTGCCTCTCCCTTCTACGCCCAGTCATGTGCCTCTCCCTTCTACGCCCAGTCATGTGCCTCTCCCTTCTACGCCCCTCTACCGCCTCCCCTGTGCCTCGCCCCTCACCAAAGCTCACCGCCCCTCCCCGCCCTCACCGCCACTGGTGTGCCCGTGGCAGGGCTGGACAGCGCGTCGGCGCTCAAGGTGGTGCAGCTGCTGCACAACATGGCCGTTCAGGTGGGCACCACATTCAGTGTGCTCCAAGTGCTTTCTCAGGTGTTTTTTTTCGTCATGAAGTTGCTGCAGAAGATGGTTGGTGAGGTGGAGAGGAGGGGACAATGCCCCCTTCCAATCGTCAGCTCAACGGCACGCTGCGCTGATTATGTGATCCTCATGCAACGGGAAAACTGCCTTAATTGGTTCGATATGGACCTTCACGCTCACTTGTCAAACATGCACTCTGGCTGATCCCCCCATCGCTCTCTCCTCCTGCTCCCACAGCATCGCAACTCACACCCTTGCTCACTCTTTCCTGCGTGCCTCCCATCCCGCCTCCCATCCCGCCTCGTTCTCTGCTAACCCAACTCCACGCGGCAAGGCGCACGTGGCGGTGACCATCCATGCACACCCCGCTACCCCTCCAAGCCCGCCCCCATGGGGGGTGGGTAAACGGTCGTGCTGACGGTCAACACCATTCCAGCTCCCCTATAGCTTTCCTTCCTCCGTCTCACCGCTTCCTCTTTTCCCTCCTCCCCATCACAGGGCGGGCGAACAGTGGTGTTGACCATCCACCAGCCGTCGTTCCGCATCACGGCGCTGCTGCACCGCATGGCGCTGCTCATCAGCGGCACCGTTGCCTTCCACGGCGCCACGCCCGCTCTGCGCTGCCACCTCGCAGTGCTGCACCACCCCGTGCCCCCGCATGTGAGTCGTGAGGGGTGCCTGTGAGCTCTGCCGCATGTAAGCTCTCTCCTCATCAGCCCCCAGGTCGCCTTCCACTGTGCCACGCCCGCCCTGCCGCAGGTAAGCCCTGCCGCAAATAAGCCCTGCCGCAAATAAGCCCTGCCGCAAATAAGCCCTGCCGCAAATAAGCCCTGCCGCAATTAAGCCCTGCCTCAAATAAGCCCTGCCGCAAATAAGCCCTGCCGCAAATAAGCCCTGCCGCAAAATAAGCCCTGCCGCAAAATAAGCCCCTATGCCGTGGCCCCATGTGAATGCACTCGTCCTAGACATGAGCACAAGACGAGTCGAGACAGGCTGTGGCTCGCACTGCCCTTGAGAGCCCAGCCCAGCCAAGCCATGGTGAGCCCACCAGTGCCGGCACTTGCCTCGTGCTTTGGGAAATATACCCGAGCACCAGTAAAGCACTCGCGTCGAGCCACAATTGCTCGTGTCGAGCCGAGCCAGGCTCGATTTGAGCTGTCATTTATTGCTTCCCCTCCCTTTCCTATGTGCTCTCACCTCGCCCTCTTGTTGCTGCTATTTCTCCCGCCACTGGTGCTGCGCGTGCAGGTGTTCCCTGCTCGGAATGAGTGCGGCAGTTCCGTTCCCCGCACTGGGCCGTTTGCTAGCTTTTGGCACCATTCCTATTGGACATGAAATTCGTCCGTTACACAAAACCAACCAGACTACGATTTTAAGTCTGACTATTCATGAGCGCACTGATGATCCTGTTGGTAATACTGTCACATTCTCATTCTGACGAGTCTCGCCCCTCCCACCACCCACGTACTAAAAGCAGCGTGCCAACACCCCTTTCCTTGTGGCTGGCAGGTGAACCTCTTAGAGTTCGCTCTTGACACTCTGCCCCGCATCGCTGCTGCTGCCACTCGTGCCAAGGTGAGTTCTGTTACTCTGCGTTTTACCATGCACACACATGCACACACATGCACACACATGCACACACATGCACACACATGCACACACCCACACAAACCCATACACCCACATTTACAAGCACAAGTGGCCCCATCATTTCTCGTTTCTACTTTCACTCCACCGTCTCATATTTCCATGCCTTCCATGTCTCTGCATCGCCTCACGCCCTTCCATGTCTCCATGAATCCCTTGGCGTCTCTCCTCCTCAGCAGTCAGAGGCCCACACGGACACTCCCCCTGCCGCGCCCTCCCTGGGAGCTGCCCTGAAGCACCAGCTAGGGAAGCTGCTGGGGAGGGGGAAGGGGTGGTCGGGGGGTGGGGGCAGAGGGGAGGGCAGCGGGGCCAGCGAGGTGGGAGGCGTGGAGAGGGGTGCAGGGGAGAGGGCGGTGGGCGAGTGGGAGTACGCAACGAGCGCCGTGAGTGAGACGGTGACATTGACACACCGCTGCTGCCTTGTGCTGCTGCGCAGCCCCGACCTGCTGCTCTCGCGCCTCCTCGTCATGGTCTGCTCCCCCCTTTAACCCCACTTCTCCTCCCTTGGCACTCACTTCTTCTTCCCAAGCGACTTCTCTCGCTCCCTTTCTCCGCAGACACCTCCTGCTCTGCTGCCGCTGCTACCTCTCACAGCCCTGCACGCGTTCACGCTGCCGCTCGTGCTTCTCGGGCTCTGCACCATTCCCACAGGCAGCCTCGCCGCCTCTCCACCACACCCACCCTCCCAGAGCACACCCTCCCCATGCATATGCACATGCGCGCATGGCAGGTGGCGATGGGGGTGATCATGGGGTCGCTGTTCCTGCATGTGGGCTTCGACATGCCTGGCCTGCAGAGCCGCTTTGCCGTGCTCGGCTTCACCATCGCGCTCGTCTTCTACAACTCCCTCGACGCCCTGCCGCTCTTCTACCTCGTAAGACGCCCTGCCCCTGGTCTGCCTGTCCACGCAACTGTATCCTACTCCTATGGAGTACAAGCTATCCCCTCTTCCCACCCATCTCCCCCTCCCCTCCTGCTGCCCACACCAAGAAAGCACCACCTTCACACGGGAGACCCCCAAAAGGACATAAAGCACAGCCCCATCCGTGTCTTTGCACTCGCATCACCTGTATCAGCCACCTCACTCCCACCTTCTATGAACGATCATCCCCTCTCCCCACCCCCCTCCCCCTCCCGTCCCCCATCCCACCCACCAGGAGCGAACCATCTTCACGCGGGAGACGTCACGAGGCGCGTACCGCACGGCGCCCTACGTGGTGGCCACCACGCTCACCACGCTGCCGCTCTGCGTGCTGCTGTCGCTCGCCCTCGCCACGCCGCTCTACTGGATGGTGGGCCTCGCGCCCTCCGCCTCCGCCTTCCTTGTCTTCATCGCCACGCTCTGCCTGGCCTTTGCGCTCGCCAACGCGTTTGTGACGCTGCTGTCGGCGCTGCTGCCGTCACACATGGTGGCGGCCACCGTGGCCAGCAGCGCCTTCTCCTTCTTCCTCCTCTTCAGCGGCTTCTTCTTCTCCAAGTCAGCCCCCTCCCCTCGCCGCCTCTCTCCTCACTGCCACTCCCTTGTCCTCACTCTTGTCCTCACTCTTGTCCTCACTCTTGTCCTCACTCTTGTCCTCACTCTTGCCCTCTCACTGCCACCCACGGCTGCCCTCTCCCTGCTTATTTGCTGCATCCACTTCCCTTCTGTCACCGTGCCAGCAGCGCCTTCTCCTGCTTCCTCCTCTTCACCGCCTTCTTCTTCTCCAACTCTGCTTCCTTTGCCTCTCTCATGCCCACCCTTCTCCTTGCCGCCCTCTCACTGCCGCCCTCTCACTGCCGCCCTCTCACTGCCGCCCTCTCACTGCCGCCCTCTCACTGCCGCCCACTTACCGCTGCCTGCTCACGCCTATGTGTAACAGCTACTTTTCTCTTGCTCATCTTCATTTGCCCCTCCCTCCCTATCGCCCCACCCCTCCCACCAGGGCAGCCATCCCGGGCTACTGGCTGTGGCTGTACTACGTGAGCCTCATGCGCTACCCCATGGAGCTGCTGCTCTGGGCCGAGTTCCACCACGGCCTCGGCCCCACCTGCTTCTCCACCTTCTCCCCCGCCGCCGGCGTCGGCTACACCGCCTCCGGCACCAACGAGGCCTGTGGGCTCACGGGTGCAGCGTATCTGGACGCGCGGGGGTTCACAGGCTTGAGCCCGTGGCGCAACCTGCTGGTGATTCTGGCGTTCATCGCTGCGCTGCGCCTGGCTTTCTACGCAGCTCTCCGCCGACACGCTGCCTCCACCAGGAAGTGACCCCATTCTACACCACACCCCACCACACCCCACCACGCCACACCCCACCACACCCCTCCACCACGCGGCGCCTCCACCTCCGCCTTGGAGGCGCCTCAAAGGCCACTCTGCCTTCACCAGGAAGTGAACCACCTTGGTCCGGCCACGCTCCTCGTCCTCCTTTGCTGCATCCGCCTCCTCTGTTCCTCTGCTTCCTCTACTTCCTCTGCTTCCGCACCACCACTGTGCTGCGTCTTGCTCTCTCCGCCACTACGCCACCTCCTCCAGGAAGTGATGAGACTATCCTTTGCTTCCCTCTGACTCTTCAGCTCTGCCACTGTAGCCACCCTGCGTTTGCAAGCCATAATATGTATGCGGATCATTTATGAGTGTAGCTGTGTGATCGCGTGGGTATCCATATAGCATGCTATAGCACATTAAAAGTTGTACGGTATTCGGGGGTTTTTAAAACGTTTGCAAGACACACAAAGAATACCGTACAATAGTCTAGTGAGAGCGTCGCCAAGCGGAGTTGTTGTTCTGCACCTCACGTACACGTCAGTTGTTTTCTCAACCCTCGTCGCGCTGACTTGAGCGTGGAACGAAATACGGTATTACTATACCGTATTACCCCGGACACACCACCCGCCGAAATAGAGCACCCCCCGGGTGGCTTGTGCGGGGGGGGTGCTATAGCGGGCCTCATTTCTACTATACCCCCCTTTAGGGGCGATCCGATATAGCACCCGGGGGGGGTTGTTATGTACGGGTAATATTGCAGTTTTTGCCTAAATAGCACTGGGTTAGCACATTCTGCCGAGCATTGCTCGAGTTCGTGGAATGGAGCCACTGCACAGAAAGAAGGATGAACTCCTTCTCAGTACAAGGACGTGACCGCCTCAGCGAGGCAGCTGAGGCTGTTGCGGGCGCTCCGCCTTTGTGACTGCATGAATCCTCGTCGAGCGACGAGGGGGTGTGTTTTCTGTCCAATCAGGGCCTGACTGTGGGCCTTGTTGGAGCTTGCAATGTGGCAGCTAACCCACGAGACTAACGTTATCGCCCAGTCCTCGGTTTTGCGCACCCAACCAACAATCTACCACCGCGTCAAACATGTACATTTTGTTCTCAACCTTTTGTGCTCTAAAAAAAATATACATTATGTAACGACCCGGGTGCAATGTAGCTTTTTCCGATGACAAGACCCCCCCCCCCCCCCTTTTTTTTGTGTAGTTATCATAGCACCCTAGGGTGGTATGTCCGGGGTAATACGGTACTCCACAAAAGAGCAGTTCGTATGTCCTTCCTTATCACATCCGAACCAAACAGTTGGAAGGTACGGCAAGCGCAACCTTGTGTCTAGCCAATCACAGCCCGAAGCCAGGGAGTAGGCCCTTTGTTTATCATGATACATTATCCTAAATTTCTTGAATTCAGGGAGTGAGGTGCGGTACGTACCACACATTAACTGCAAACTGTGTCAGATGTCTACTGGACATCCCCAATCGATCCTAGGGAAGGGTTACAGGCACGTTGGTCTGCGAGGTTACGGGCGCACTCACCCGCTACATAAACAAGCCATTTTATCACAATGGTTAGTGGCTAGGATTCTGACATGGTATCAAAGGTAGGTCTCGAGTTCGAATCCTGGTGTGTGCACCTTGGGCATCTTAGTGTGCGGGGGTGTCAGAGGTCCAATGGAGATCCCCGATTGATTCTAAGGAAGGGTTACTAGCACGTTGTACTTGAGGGGGTATGGGCGCACTCACTCGCTACACAAACAAGCCATTTTATCCCAATGGTTAGTGGCTGGGATTCTGACAAACTGCTGCGGAGTTGACGAGTCGTCGGGCTGTCAACAAAACGAAGCTATAAATGGTAGTCGGACTTCCCATCACGGACTATCCTTCCCACCTCCCAATGATAGCGACAGTCTTGTCTCACTACTACGTAGATCGTGAACCGCTTCTTGTCACGCACTCGAATCGAAGCCTGCGTCCATACTTGCAGCTCCTAGCTATGGCTTTCAGGCCACTGCTTCTCGTCTGCTTCGCGCTCCTCGCAGTGATGTCCGCCTTCGCGCAGCGCGGCCCGCCTGGCGGAGGCATGTCCGGCGGTCAGGGGCCGCCATGGGGACCCCGCGGCGGAGGCCCTGGTGGGCACGGCGGACCTGGCGATGGCCCTGGCGGCGAGCCGCGCGGTCTGCCGCTGAACCTGACGGCTGTTGGCAATCTAACGGCAGACGTTGGCGCACAGGTGAAGAGCTTCTCGGCGAATCTGACGTTTGTTAACAAACGCTTCCACATCACTGTCTTCAAGTAAGGAGTCGCCTCCACCCCACCCCTGCTCTCGTTCTTTCCGCGGACTTATCGAGAACAAAAAACAATCATGAGCACGTCACTCAATGCGTGCGGCACAGAGGAGGCACTTTCGTCCCTTATCCTCCCACCGTAGTCCGACATCGCAAGTCAGGGGGATCGCGTTTCCAAATCGAAAACCAGTCGCAACTCATTTCTAGCGGTCGATCCCAACTGCATGCAGATATTGCAGTGCCTGTCTGCAAATGCAAGGCTTGAGTTCGGTACACGTGACCTGGTTTGTTGCTATAAGTATAATAGAATATAGGAATGCACATAATATAGGAAATCAAACATATATGTGCATGATAAATATAACCGAAGCTAGTAGTAGCAAAATAAAGTACAGGCAAGCTAGCAAAGCCAGCATAATGTCAAAACATTATATGCATTCTATCCCTCTAAAGTGTGTAGGGGTTATCCCTTACCTAATCCATCATACTTCTCACTAGTTTTTAAAAGGGCACACCGTGAAATTTCGCCTACTCGTCCGTTCTGCCCTGCCCGGCCAGTCGCGCTGCCCACATGGTGCCTAGCGCGCAATCTGAGCGCTTACTGCTGCACACGGACTGCCTGCTACTCTAGCGCGATCGCGCTGTCCTGCCCCACCCGCAATCGCGCTGCCATGCCCTGCCCTCGATCGCGCTGCCCTACCCTGCCCGTAATCGCGCTGCCTGCTGACTAGCGTATTGCCCGCCCGCGAGCGCTCTGCCTACCCGCAAGCGTCACTGCGCCCCTGCCCGCAAGCACCACTTTGCCCCTGCCCGCTCGCGCTGCCCGCCAGCAGCCTGCGCCCTAACCACGCACACCCTTCCTGCGCCATGCCCGTCCGCGCTGCCGCTGCTGTCATTTACGCAGCTGCTACTACTGCATGCGCTGCTACTGCATGCGCTGTTGCTGTTGCTAAGGGCTGATGCTACTACTGCTGCTACACGCGCTACTGCAGCTGCGCTCTGCCCTGCCAAGCCCCTACCCGCCGTGCTCTGCTCCTGTTGCTGCCATCTAAGCTGCTGATGCCGCCTGTGCTGCTGCTGCTGCCTATGCTTCTGCTGCTGCTCTGCTACTGTCGCTTGAGCTGCTGCTGCCACTTACACAACCGCTGCTGCTGCACGCGCTACTGCTGCTAAGCGCACTGCTGCTACAGCTGTGCTCTGCCCTGCCTGCGCGAGTGCTGCCAGCTCGCAAGCGCCCCTACCCGCCAGCGCTGCTGCTGGTGCGCAGCTGCTGCCAAACGAGCTGCTGCGCCTGAGCTGCGCTGCCGCGCGCGCTGCTGCTTTGTCCCCTGCCGAGCCGCACTGCCCTACGCGAGCTGCGCTGCCCTGCCCCTACTGAGCCGCACTGCCCTGCTGCTGCTGGTGCTACTGCTACTGCTGCTACTGTTACTGCCACTGCTACGGCTGCTCCTGCTACTATGACTACCGTTTCGGTTCTTAGCTTTAATGCGAAGGGTCGCCCGATTAGCTTTGAGGTGTGGCTCGATGATCTTCAGCTGTACTTGCAGAGCGAGGCTAGGGATGGCGTTTCTTTGTTCACACATACGTCCGGATCCCTCGTAGCCCCAGCTGATACAGCGCACGCGGACCATTCGAAGTGGCTCATACGTGACGCTACTGCCCATATTGCTGTTTGCAACCACCTTCCAGTAGCTGAGAGAGCGCATTTTAGCAAGAAGAAGACAGCCAAAGCCATATATGACGTCTTTGTTGCTCGTTACTCCTCCCCAGTTACTACTACCCCAGGCCGTCTCATTCTGCCGTACCTCTTCCCTGAGCTCGCAGATTTGCACACTGTCGCTGACCTCATGACCCACCTTTACTCTAGTGAGACTCGGTACAGCACCGCCCTCAAGCCGACCTTTTCTCTGCGACCCCCCCTGTACTTTCTCGTCACACGCCTCCCTGACTCCCTCCGCATTGTTTGGGACCACTTCCTCGCCCTAGACCTTACTGAGCTTTATATCACCCTGTACTTCCTCGTCACACACCTCCCTGACTCCCTCCGCACCGTTTGGGACCACTTCCTCGCCCTAGACCCTACTGAGCTCACACTTGCATCGCTGGAGAAGTCCCTCCTCGAGGCTGAGGCCAGTACTGTTGCTGTCGCTGCCTCTCGTGGCACTCCCCGCTCCCCCGTTTTTTAGGGGTGTGCTCCCTCCCCTCTCATACCCTCTCGTTCCTTGGTGTTGAGGAAGTCGGCGCTGCGTTTGCTCCTAGTGGGAAGCACCGCAGCGGCAAGAGCAAGGGGGGTAAGGGTGGTGCGGGTGGCACTAGCGGTGGTGGTAGCGGGGGTGGTGGTGGCGGGGGCGGAGGCGGGGAGGTGGCACTGGAGGTGGAGGCAGAGGAGGTGGCGGGGGTGGAGGAGGTGGTGGGGGTGGTAGAGGCGGCGGGGGTGGTGGAGGCGATCGGGGTGGAGCCGGCAAGGGTGGAGGCTATGGGGGTTCAGCTCGTGGCGGAGGAGGCTATGGGAGTGGTCCGCAGCTGCCACGTCTCCTTAACAACCCCACCCCTCAGCAGCTTCCTGAGTGGGTTGTCCAACGCGGTCCCCCTGGGGGCTCTGTTCGATGCTCCTATGTCTGGTGCACGGGCCTCCGGAAGGGTGAGACTTGCGGGAAGACTAGGCACATGGAGTATCGCTGCATCGGCCGTCTTAAGGATGCCTGGGTGGCAG